TAAAAAGAAAAAAAACAATTAAAAAACAAGAAGACAACTTAAGAGAACTGTGACACAATATGAAACAGAACAATATCTGCATCATAGGAGTTCCAGAAGAAGAAAAAAATAAGCAAAGGTTAGAGAATATATTTGAAGAAATAGTGACAGAAGACTTCCCTAACTTGGTGAAGGAAAAAGGCATACAAGTTCAAGAAGCACAGAGAGCCCCAAGTAAGAAGAACCCAAACATGCCCACACCAAGACACATAATAATTAAAATGCCAAAAACTAAAGACAAAGAGAGAATCCTAAAGGCAGAAAGTGATAAGCAACAGGTTACCTACAAAGGAACCCCCATTAGGCTATCAGCTGCCTTCTCAACAGAAACACTATAGGCCAGAAAGGAATGGCATGAAGTAATCAAGGTAATGAAAAACAAGGATCTCAATCCAAGACTACTCTATGCAGCAAGACTTTCATTCAAAACATAAGGTGAAATAAAGAGCTTCCCAGACAAAAAAAAAAAAAAAGCTAAGGTAATATATTAGCACCAAACCAGCACTGCAGGAAATGTTAAAAGGACTGCTGTAATTAGTAGAAGAAACAGAAAGAAAAATATAACCACAATAAACAAAAATGGCAATAAATAAGTACTTATTAATAATAACCTTAAATGTAAATGCATTAAATACTCCAATCAAAAGACACAGAGTAGCTGATTGGATAAGAAAGCATGACTCATAGACTCATATATATGTTGTTTACAAAAGACTCACCTCACAACAAAAGACTCACATAGGATGAAAGTGAAGGGATGGGAAAAAATCTTCCAAGCAAATAAAAAGGAAAAAAGAGCTGAGATAGCAATATTCGTATCCAATAAAATAGACTTCAAAATGAAGGCCATAACTAAAGACAAAGAAGGCCACTATATAATATGGAAAGGATCTATCCAACAGGAAGATATAACCTTGGTAAACATATATGCACCCAATATAGGAGCACCAAAATACATTAAAATACTTCTAGAGGTCTTCAAAGGAGATATCAACAGTAAAACAATCATACATTCATAGCAGGGGACTTCAACACCCCACTGACATCACTGGCTAGGTCCTCAAGACAAAAAATGAGCAAGGAAATAAAGACTCTAAATGACATACTAAATCAAATGGATTTAATAGATATCTACAGAGCCCTGGCCAGTTTGGCTCAGCGGTTAGAACGCCGGCCTGCAGTCCAGAGAGACCTGGGTTCGGTTCCTGATAAGGGCACGTACTTCGGTTGAAAAGGAGGAAGTAAAACTGTCATTATTAGAAGATGACATGATATTGTACATAGAAAATCCTAAAAACTCCATCAAAAATCTACTAGATTTCATAAACGAATTTGGCAAAGTAGTATGATACAAAATTAACATAAAAAAATAGATTGCATTCTTTTTTTTTCCTGTGGTATGTGCCCCTAGCGGGAGCCACACCCAAGACTCTCTGGTCCGCAGGCCAATGCTCAACCACTGAGCCAAACGAGCCAGGGCTCAATGGCATTCTTATACAACAATAATGAAATCACAGAAAGAGAAACTAAAAAAAAAAAACAAAAAACAATCCCAGCCCTGACCAGTTTGGCTCAGCGGTTGGAGCATTGGCCTGTGGACCAGAGTCCTGGGTTCAGTTCCCGCTGGGCCCTAGCAGCTAGAGGCACTTACCAAAAAAAAAAAAAAATCCCATTTACCATCAGCAAAAAAATTAAGATACCTAGGAATAAACTTAACCAAAGAAGTAAAGGATCTCTTCACAGAAAACTACAGGTCATTGAAAAAAGAAATAGAGGAAGATATAAAAAAAGTGGAAGCACATACCTTGTTCAAGGCTTGGAAGAATTAACATCATTAAAATGTCCATACTACCTAAAGCAATCTACAGATTCAATGCAATCCCCACCAAAATACCACCGACATACTTCACAGAACTAGAACAAACACTCCAAAAGTTTATATGGAACCAAAAAAGACCCAGAAGAGCCACAGCAATCTTGAAAAAGAAGAACAAAGTAGGAGGGATCACATTACCAGATTTCAGGTTATACTACAAAGCCACTGTAATCAAAACAGCCTGGTACTGGCACAAGAATAGGCAGATAGATCAATAAAACAGAATAGAGAACTCATAAATTGACCCAAGACAATATGCTCAATTAATATTTGACAAAGGTGGCAAGAGCATAAAGTCAAGACAGTCTCTTCTATAAATGGTGTTGGGAAAATTAGACAGCTACTTACAAAAAAAAAAAAAAAAAATGAAGCTAGAAGACCAACTTACACCATAAACTCAAAATGGATAAAAGACTTAAATGTAACTCGTGAATCCATAAAAATTCTAGAAGAAAATGCAGGCAACAAGATGTTAGACATCCTATGCAGCAGAATTTTCACTGATATAACACCTAAGGCAAAAGAAACAAAGGAAAAAATGAACACATGGGACTACATCAAACTAAAAAGCTTCTGCACAGCAAAAGAAACAACCATCAAAACGGAAATGGATTCCACTATATGGGAAACCATAATCACCAATGATGCATCAGATAAGGGGTTAATTTCCAAAATATATAGAGTGCTCATACAACTCAACAAAAGAAAGACAACCCAATTTAAAAATGGGCAGAGGACCTACATAGACACCCGTCCAAAAACGACAAACAAATGGTCAACAGACATATGAAGAAATGCTCAACGTCACTAATCATCAGAGAGATGCAAATTAAAACAACAATGAGGTATCACCTCACACCTGTCAGAATGGCCACCATCAACAAATCATCAAACAAGTGTTGGCGAGGGTGTGGAGAAAAAGGAACTCTAGTACACTGCTGGTGGGAATGCAGACTGGTGCAGCCACTATGGAAAACAATATGGTGTTACCTCAAAAAGTTAAAAATTGAACTGCCATTTGACCCAGTGATCCCACTTCTAGGAATATACCCTAAGAAGCCTCAAACACCCATCAGAAAGAATATATGTACCCCTATGTTCATAGCAGCACTATGTACAATAGCTAAGATCTGGAAACAACCCAGGTGTCCATCAGTAGATGAGTAGATAAAAAAGCTGTGGTATATGTACACAATGGAATACTATGCAGCTGTAAGAAAGAAAGATCTCTTATCCTTTAAGATGGCAATGGAAGGACCTGGAGAGTATTATGCTGAGCGAAACAAGCCAAGCAGAGAAAGACAAATATTACATGATCTCACTTATTTGTGGAATATAGTGAACTAAACAAACTGATAAGCAAAATTAACCCAGAGACATAGAGGTGGAGTACAGACTGACAAGCCTCAGAGGAGGGGGGGTTGGGGGGGGAGAGATAAACCACAGAGCTTACATGCATGACCAATGAACATAGACAACAAAGCTGGGGATGGTGTGGGGGGAAGGGGAGGAAGGTATCAATGGGGGGAAAATGAGAAGCATCTGTAACAAAAAGAAAGAGAAGAGAAGAGAAAGAAGGGGGAAGAGAGGAAAGGGGAGAGAAAAAGATGTAGGGCACAAAAGCAGTGCTATTTCAGAAGCAGAGGTGGGTGTCTGCTGAGGTGCTGAGGGTGTGGAGATAAACAGGAATTTCTATCCTGTGCTATGGCTTGTGGTCATTATAATTTGCCATCCCCCATCTAATTCGTTGTCACCCTCCCTCAAGTAATCAGAAATAAACTGACTCGCCAGTCCCTGCTCATACTAGAGACTGTACACTTTCCTCCTGGATTAGGTGCAGACAAAACACCACTCCAAGGCACAGTGGGAAACAAACAACACTCCAGCCCTTGGCATCAAAAATGCAAGGCAAGCAGAGTCACCACACCTGGTGCAAAGTGCACGTGTATACATATACATACACACACACACACAACACTTTTTTTTTCCCTTTCTTAGGCACACCCCACCCCCATGTGTCTGGAAAGGACAAGGGCACAGTTAATGCCACTGCTCTGTGAGCAAAAGAAAGCTGACAAAATGCATTCTGACTCCTTCCTTCAATGGACTGTAAAACTGAGGGCGGATGGTGGGTGGTGGGTAAGGTAGGCCAACACTTTAGTGGCATAAAGGGTCACAAAGCCACCCCCAAAAAAGGTGCTTCTAACTATCAATAGCAGGTATCAACATGTGGATAAAGTGCTATGAGAGCTTACTAATGCTAAGGTACACACAAATTACTTTTTTTTTTTTTTTTTTTATCCTCACCCGAGGACATTTTTCCATTTTTTGTACAGACAGAGTGGGAGGGAGAGAGAGAGAGGGAAACATCGACGTGAAAGGGACACATCGAGTGGCTGCCACCCGCACGACCAACCAGGGCCGGGGACAAACTGCAACCAAGGTACATGCCCTTAGCGGGAACCGAACCCGGGTCTCTCCGGACCGCAGGCGGGCGCTCTAACCGCTGAGCCAAACCGGCCAGGGCACAAATTACTTTTTTAATAAAAACTGCAGGAAATTTAAAAGGGGGTGGGAGTACAACCAGAACAATTGTATGGAATTTAGGCTGTTAGACTGACACACCTTAGCAAACTGGGCTCCAGCGTTCCCCTCCGGAAAGAGCGCATTCCCCCAAGTATTAGGCATGCCAGGTGTGTTCGCCAAGTACCTGTTCCCACCCCGACGACACCGTGGGGACCGGAACGCGCTCCACGCCCCTCAGGCATCGCACACTCCCTGCTGGTCTCGCCCTATTTCGGTCCTTTACAGGCTTTGACCTTGAGTGCCTAAGGTACTTAATGTAGGTTTTCTCTTCCATAAACAGTTATGGTTAACAACTCAGTGCTGCAGACACACTTCATGTTGCCCACAAGGAACAACTGGCACGTCCACCGTGGCGCGCTGGCATCACCCGTCGAGTCCCCTAAACCGTGTTTGCACACAGCCTGCCCCGTCAGCTTTCTGCCCGCCACTGCGTCTGCGCGGAGAGAACCTACAGGGTGCCCCGGCCGCCCCGCCCCCCCTCACCGCGTACGTCGCTTACCTGCCAACGATGAGCACCGGGCCGGCTGCCGAGGTCGCCATGTTGGAGCCGGACTGGCCGGGAGGGACTGCGGCCGCGAGTGGCAGGCTCAGGGTCCCGGCGCCGCGCTGCACAGAACCCCGCGCGGGGGGGCGGGTCGTGGTCCGCGCCCATTGGCTGCGCTCGGAATCGAGCTGGCCATATCGTCTTTGGATTGGCTGGGGATCGGCTCGGGAAGGGCCAGGGGGCTGACGCGACGCCTGGGCCCTTAAAGGTTGCGGCCGCGGACCGAGCCTCTACTATCCGGCGGCCACTCGGTGGGCGGACACTGGGTATGTAGGGGCACGGGCGGAGCTGGCCCCCCAAAGCCCACTGGAGGGAATGCCGGTGGGAAGTGCGGGGACCAGATACGCGAAGTTTAGTAATTCATTGTTTATTTTTTAGTTTTCCACCCTGCACCCTAAAATCAGTGTGCAAGGGAGGGGGCACCTCCAGGTTGGCCCAGGGCTTGACCATCAAAGGACCCAAGAAAACTATCACGGGGATTTCCCGTTTAAAGGTATCAGTAGCTCCTCAGTACACCCCAGCTCAGGCTTTAATCTAAGGGCTTTAAACTGCTGAGTTTGCTTTGACGATGCTTTTACAAAGGCACCTGTCACCTTTCCCACGGATGGAACGTTGGGACAGCAGAAGGGAAAGCCCCAGGTGCATGAACCTGTGAAACTGGAGACTGGTTTGATTCCACTACAGTGAGCTAAGAGGTTGTGAGCTGTGGGTGCTGTGTGAACCATACTTCCTCCTTCGAAGGACATGTCACCCTGCCTAATGCCTTTTGGAGCACAGGAATAAACAGACTAAAGAGAAAGGGCATTACACATCACATGACAGCAGTTTGTGTCCACACAGCACACACTATGGGGAAGTGCCACCGTCATCCCGTTCAAGATGATTATTACTCAAGCAGAAAACAGGTCCAATACCAGTAGACTCATGACAAATGGAGTTTTTCCTTTATTTGTTTCCCCCAGTCAGGAACATGGAAAGAGGGATGTCAGAGGGAAGGCTAAGCTTTGAAGAACTATTTCTCAAATTATCAATAAACGTTTGAAAAGGTGCTCGACTCAAGAAAAGAGAAATGAAAAGTACATAACACGACATAAGCCATCCTTCACCCATCAAGTTGGCTAAAATTTCAGAGATTGATGATATTCCCATATTGGCAACCAAGACTGTTTCCTACACAACTGAAGGCGGGCCTAAACTGCCACAGGCTTTCTGGAGAGAAATAGTACAGTATGTTGTTGGAAGTGCTGTCCCCATGAGCCCTGGGCATCCCTGCACATTCCTGCTGAGTGTCAGATGCCAAGGTTTATCCATCTACTGATACTGAACGGTTTCTGTAGCTATCCACACAGGCAGCTAAAGAAGTCAAGGTACCCACAGAGTGATTATAACTACTCACTTCTTGGGTGGTAGGGGACTGGCTTGTTTGCTGCTCACTACAGTGTTGGCTCTTTGCTTTAAAAAGTGCTGGTCCTGCCCTGGCCAGTTTGGCTCAGCAGTTAGAGCGTCGGCCTGAGCTCCAGAGAGACGCAGGTTCGGTTCCTGCTGAGGGCACATACCTCGGTTGCAGTTTGTCCCCGGTCCTGGTTGGTCGTGCGAGTGGCAGCCACTCGATGTGTCCCTTTCACGTTGATGTTTCTCTCTCTCTCTCTCTCTCTCTTTCCTTCTCTCTCTCTCTCTCTCCCTCCCTCCCTCCCTCCCACTCTATCTGAACAAAATATGGGAAAAATGTCCTCAGGTAAGGATTAAAAAAAAAGGAAAAAAAGTGCTGGTCCTTGGCCCACTGCAAATGCCAGGGCCATCTGGCCCTCCATGTAACCCTGTGGGAATTGGGGGGCTTCAAAACCTGGTGTCTATACATTTGCAGACACTCTGGCTAATGCTATTGCTGTGAGTAATAAGGTTGTTTATCTCTAATTCAGGAGTTTCATGTCTTCTGTCAACTTCTACAAAACTGTGACACATTAACTTGTTAGTTTGCAATAAGGTGAAACTCTCAGACCCCTCTTCCTTCCTGCCCCACCTGACAGTGCTTGGAAAATCAAAATTTTAAATATATGTACCCTTTGGCTTTTTGATTCCAGCCCTACAGAAATACTCACAAGTGGACACCAAGATAGACTAAGTTGTTCATTTCAGCACCGTTTTTAATAGAAACATATTGAAAACATGATCAATATCAATAAGAAACAGTTTTGAGGATTATAGTACAGAGGATTTCTGCATGTGGCCAAGATGCTCTTCAAAAGACACTATTAAGAAAAGTAAAAACATGAACCACACACTAGGAGAAACTATTGGCAAAACACATATGTAGTTAAAAGCTTGTGTTCAGGACATACAGAGAAACCTTGCAACTCAATAAAGAGAGAAACAACTGATTAAAAAGTGGCAAACAATTTGAAGAGACAGTTCACCAAAGAAGATATATTAATGGTTGATAAACAATGAAAAGATGGTAAACATATTTAGTCATCAGAAAATGTGAATTAGCCCTGGCCAGTTTGGCTCAGCGGTTAGAGCGCAGGCCCACACCCGGAGAGTCCCGGGTTTGGTTCCCACTAAGGGCACGTGCCTCCGTTGCAGTTTGTCCCTGGCCCCGGTTGGGGTCTTGTGGGTGGCGACCACTCTATGTGTCTCTCACATTGATGTTTCTCCCTCTCTCTTCCTCCCTCTCTTCCTCCTGCTCTACCTGAAGATGAATGCAAAAATGTCCTCAGGTGAGGATAAAAAAAAAAAAAAGAAAGAAAGAAAATGTGAATTAAAATCACAATGAGATACCACTCAGTACACACCGGGTAGAATTAAAATTGAAATCACCCATTGTTAGTAAGGATGTGGAACAATGGAATTCTTGTATATTTCTGGTAGGAATGCAAAATGGAAGAATCGCTGGGAAAAACAGTTTGGCAGTTTGTCCTGAAGTGAAACATACACTTAAGGTATGATTCAGCAACTCCACTCCTAGGTATTACACAAGGGAAATAAAAACAAGTGTCCACACAAAGATGTGTAAGGGAAGATTCTTAGAAGCTTTATTCACTATAGCCAAAACCCAGAAACAACTCAAATAGGGAATAGAATAACAAATTTTGATATATTTATACACGGCATTAATACTCAGCAATAAGAAAAAAACAAACTAATGTTGCATGGGACAACATGAGTGACTACCAATAACATTATGTTGAGCAAAAGAAGCCAAACACAAGAGAGTGTATCATTCGATTTAAACACGACTAGAATTCTAAAGTGGCTCTCTGGGTCTCGAGGTACAGGGGACAGCCTCAGGAGGAACACAAGAGAAATTTGGGATGTTAGAAGTATTCTATATCTTAATTATGGTGGTGATTACATGGGTGTATAAATTACCAAAACTTATTGAAATATACACTTAATAAATGTATTATATGTAAGTTCTACCTCAATAAGTCAATTTTTTAAAGGTAGGATTTGGGGTGATTTACATCCTTCAAGAATAAAAATTTGGTTCACCCCACCCCCAACTAGGGAAAAAATCATACGCACAAAACCTTGATCAGCCCAGGCCGGTTTGGTTCAGCGGTTAGAGCGTCGGCCTGCGGTCCTGAGAGACCCGGGTTCGGTTCCCGCTAAGGGCGCGTACCTCGGTTGCAGTTTGTCCCCGGCCCTGGTCGGTTGTGCGGGTGGCAGCCACTCGATGTGTTCCTTTCACGTCGATGTTTCTCTCTCTCTCTGTTCCTCTCTCTCCCTCCCACTCTACCTGAACAAAAAATGGAAAAATGTCCTCGGGTGAGGATAAAAAAAAAAAAAAAAACTTGATCAGTTGAAATGCTGGATGAGGGTGAACTTGTAACCAGTATGGTAGTTGGAAAAGGAAGTAGTAAATATTATGTTCTGACCAGTAACAGAAATGAAGACAGCCACCAAGCATTTTTTTCTTATTTTTATCTGTGTATGTATCTGGGTGTTTGTTATCTCATTTCTTTTTCTCCCTCCTCTTTTTCCCTTATTATTTTCTGTTAGGATTATTGGTAGTGCTTAAGTTTATAATTTAGTCTGTAGGTTGCAGAATATTCAGGTGAGATGTAGACTGAATTAGACACAGATGCCCCAGTGTGTATGTAACTGAAAAACAGATTCAGCTGCCTACTGAAAGGAAAGCCAAACTCATGAGGCAAGTGCTAGTGCAAAAGGAAAGCAGTTTTATTCAGGTGCCGCTCAACCTGGGAGAATGGTGAACTCCCATCTCAAAGACCATCTTCCCTTCCTGCTCAAGCCCATAGTTCTCAAAAGGATAGGGAAGGAAGAAATTTATTTTTCTACCCAATTATCTGTCTAGCTTTTGGTGTGCTTGGACCCTATCCATTCATCTTTCTAGCTTTTGGCTCTCTCGGTGTTAAGAACCTCCCCCTGCACCATCTTGGCCAGCAGGGGAGACCTCTGCACTCCCACTGATTCTCTACAGTAACATGGACACAACAACAGTCAGCATTTTCTCCATCTTCCCTTTTGGGGACAGTGAGAGGGTCTCTGTGGGAGAAGAACTGCATCTTCTTGGAAGAAGGTATTGTCCTTGCTATTGTGGCATAGAAGTTCAACCACGTGCAGAAGGGTGTGTGTAGAAGGGTCTGTGCCAGGATTATTGGATGGTTGTCTTTCTGCTCCAATCCACCCTTCTATACTCTGGTATGTGATGTTGAAGCAGCTTTCCCATTACATTCCACTGGAGAAAAATGGAAAGGCAGAGGGAGAGCGAATGCTAGCTTGTTCATCCTGTTAGTGGCATCCTAGCCATCACACTAGTGACCTCCACTGGTTCTATGTCCAGCTCTGTTGGCCCTGCTAGACACTGCCTCTCACACACCTTAGGTGCACCCAGCTCCCCTGGGTTCCCCCTCTGAGCCTCTAGTCCTAATAACCCCAAATCTCCCTGCCTTCCCCAAGTTCTGGGGGTAGTGGTACCTCCTGATGTTACCGTGTCACCTCAGTATTCTCTCTTCACTTTCCAGCCCTTCTAGCAAACTAATTCTACATATTAAATTCTCTGTTGTACTATTGAGTGTGGTTTCTGTTTTCCAGACTGGACTTTTG